TTGCAGTCTAAACCATAATCTTGCGAATAACCGAGGTCCAAGGAGAGCTTTTAGGCACTACTTACAACACTTCTCCCAACTTAACCCCATTTATACTAATTTCCTTTGGTATAGCCATGACCTAATCAACTTCAGTCAGCATTCCCAATGATCCGAGCCCCTATCAATTTTGCGCCACTATCAAAATCTCTGCTGAAGTCAAGGTACACAAAATCACAAACCTTATCACCATTTCCTCAACTATGCAACCTAATCCATGAACATTTAGTAATAAAACTATGCGATTCATGTATCTAGTCATGTTTCTCAAAAAGAGTAGAGAAATGGCACTTGCAATGTTAGATTCTAGTAACTTTCCTCACAATAGACTAAGCTAATTGGTCACTAACTTAAGCGTTAAAGTTAACTCAAACTTTTCCTTTAAAACTTGCTATATTAGGAACTTTCCACGACCGGCCTTTACCCGACATAATTAAATAGGGTAAAAACGGTATATTAAATGCAGTAAAACTACGGTAAATTCAATATGATAAACTTGCATTCTTTAAGCATGGGCTGCATAGTAAGTGAACTAAACTAAATGTTAAGCACCCTGGCAAACCACTTCGTTCTATTCAATTTCTTTATTTAATCACTTTGTCCGGCTAGAATTTTTAGATTAGATTAAAGGAACACCCTCCCTGGTAACGGCTGAACTAGTTAACCAAATACAAATATTTAGGTAAAATACTTTCATAAAACCCGTCTACTTCCCCCACCAGTAGACTTGTTCAGCTAAAGGCATAATGTAATGTTCCACTTTAGTAAATAAAGACTTAAAAAAACACTACCCCATCTGTGTAGTTACCGGTTACCTGACATTCTACGCTTAAAATAACCCATCTATTCCCCATAATTGTTCGATATAACTTACCTCTCACCCGCTGGTCGAGTACACAGCAGTATATATCCTCCTCCATCACTCACCGCGTGGATACTATTTCACTCTGGCCGCAAATTGCCTCAAATCACCTACGTTGTCCATAAACATATATAGAAGAGCAACTGACCGTAACACCCGTATAGCGATCATCACATAACGTGGGAACATTAGTAGTACTGCTGTCAAAACATAGATGGCGCCAGGACAAACGGTAATTCCTATGGACTCGCCTAGTTATGCGTAGGGAATTGAGCTTCAGCTGTTTGGTCCCGCCCCTCAGCTGTATTCACCTAGTTGTACTCACCTAATTTGTGCTTGCAGGGGTTGAGCTTTGGTTCTTTGGTCCCGACTCTCAACCGTCAATCAACAGGTGTACAGGTTCCTGAGCCTATTGGGCTCTATCACATCTACATTTGAAATTGTGTATGGAGTCAGCCTCCACCACATCACTGCTTAATACATTCCATTTGTTAACTACTCTGACACTGAAAAAATTCTTTCTAATATCTCTGTGGCTCATTTGGGTACTAAGTTCCCCTTGTTCGTGTTCCACCCGTGTTAAAGAGCTGTCTTTGTAACTATCAAAATGCATATATCTTTGCTTTCACTTCAGTTATATTTATGACAAGGGATTTAAAATTTGCCTATATTTCTGCTTCTCTGATGACATTAAAAACTTTCGTTTATTACAGTATCTACATAAAATTAACATTTATCTTCATTAGGTTGTAGTTCTCATCAATAGGGAGAGCGTCGGTAAAAAAAAAAAAATTGTTTAAATATAAATATCTTTCCTCTCTCAATAATATGCCCGAAACGCTATGCGTACTAGTGGCTTTAGGTATTGTATGTACTAGCTCTATCTATAAATCCAATATTATGTTTGTAAATCGACTATTTATGTACTTTCCTGAATAAAATGAACTTTACTTTACTAATATCTAATCTCTGTGACTAAAACGTAAGAACGACTTTATCTATGCCTTTTTGATAACATATACAATTATAAGCTTTATTAGTGAATCTCTATTAATTAAACAATATATCAGAGAGTGTGTAAGGTTCGGTGTTCCATGTGCGAAGAGACATGGGAGATTTTACATCAGTACAGTAAATGTTTTAAGTAGCGAACGCATACTAACGAATAACGATTAGTATAGACCAACACTATTGTTCTATGAAGTCGATTTAACTTCCAGACATGTATTTTTCAATAAGTCTTAAATATTTTCTGGCTAGTTATGTTAGATATTATTAGAAATACGTATTCTACTTGTTAATATAATAAACTAAATTTGCGATCATTTAAGGAGAGAAGTGCGACGACTGGATCACTGTGTACAGAAGGTTGATATGCCAACAAACACTTTCCAGACAACAATATATCTTGGATAAGTCGCTCCACAACATTGACACCTGGACCGTTGACTTCCTATGAGGCCACATATTTACTTATTTCATAATGGAAGTATATTATTTTATAGTAAATATATGTTTTCTCGTGTTCTGCATTAAGCACCAACATTATAGTGAATAAATATACCATATTTCTTCATTATTTAAGTAATGCTAGGAGGCTTTGAGTAGCTTTGGGTCATTAGGTGAACAGAATCTCCAATAGATGGGGCGAGAGTCGCGCTATCTCTCGCCCGAGCGAGAGTCGAAACTTATTTTAGAATTGATATATCTTTGTCCTCCAACAAGATATATTTCCTTTGGTGCACTCACAATAACGAGCATATCTCTGTCTTTCTGAAGGCATATAATATTTTAGGCTTTATAAGCGTATCTTTGTTAATTACACACTATATTGGCAAGTGCGTAGGCTTCTGCATTCCATGACCGACAAGCTACTGAATGCCACTATAAAAACGTATGTATCTTCACTTGAGCTTTATATATGTCTATGTTAAAGTATTTAAAATGAAGCTTATATTTCTATCTTTCTTGAGACATATAAAACATATGTGTTTATTAATGAATTTACGTGAAATAAGCATTGTTCTGAGAGAGAGTTGCTCTGTCGATCAGTCTGTGCGGGGTCGGAGCTCGGCGATTATTAAAACACATGTATCTTCATTAGAACTTTATATATATCTATGGTAAAGTATTTAAAATGAAGCTTATATTTCTATCTTTCTCAACACATATAAAAACATTTGCGTTTATTAACGAATTTACGTGAAATAAGCATTGTTCTGAGAGAGAGTTACTCCGTTGCTCGATCTGTGCGGGATCGGAGCTCGCCGATTAGAAAAATACACGTATCTTCGCTTTAAATACAAATATGCCCATGGTAAGGCATTTAAAATGAAGATTATGTTTCTATCTTTCTTGAGACGTATAAAAATCTTACGTTTATTAACGATTCTGCGTGAAATAAGCATTGTTCTGAGATGAATATTGCGGATTTCCGGCTCTACGACCGATGAAAAATGCAACTTTTATACAACTACAAATATCTTTAGTTTTACTTTAAATTTTGTCCTGAAAGAGTTTTCATATATAGATCCAGTTTCTGCCGTTCTTCTGACATAAAAAGACCTTTGGTTTAATAAGTTAAGATGTTTTCAACAATATTACTAGGGCGTTCACCGATTCTAACATGGGCGACCCTTTTGGAAACGCAACACATGGGTTGACCTGATTGATATATGGGTCAGATTCCATTAAGGTTCAGAACAACACTCGCCTGGCGTTCCGCGAGCGCTATGTCATGGGTTCGTATCCTGGCCGGGGAGGATTTACTGGGCGCAATTCCTTAACTGTAGCCTCTGTTTAACGCAACAGTAAAATGTGTACTTGGATGAAAAAACGATTCTTCGCGGCAGGGGATCGTATTCCAGGAACCATAGGATTAAGGACTTGCCCGAAACGCTACGCGTACTAGTGGCTGTACAAGAATGTAACAACTCTTGTATATATCTCAAAAAAAAAAAAAAAAAAAAGACCAACGTCCAGTCCATGCACCCGCCAAACCCCCTGTTTATGAATAGAAAACAGTTTACATATGATGTTTGAACACTTATTGAACAAGGGCTTTGCTGACGACTTTTGTTCGAACCACAACGCTGTAAATGCTTCACTCATGTACTACAAATTCAAATAATTGCTAACAGAACATAAACACCTAACCTAACCATATCTTGCCCTGCCTAAATATGCACAGTATGCTAATATATAATAATATTAATTTATATTTGAGAAAATTCCTGTTTTCAATGAACAGTATGTTAAAATTGATGAATGTACCTTTGGGGTCAACCGCTGGATGGAATGGACTTGGGCCAAGGACAGGTTGCTTGATGGCCAGCTAGTTTGGGCTCCCAGCCAGTCTGGCTGTCTGCTGGCCAGGGTTTATGTTCTTTCTTGGTTTCAAGTCACCCAGCAAAACATACCTGTTGGTTTTGTTGGGCATTCAGACCTGGCTGAGTCTGTGACTAGGACACAGGAACGACATCTGTTTTCCACTAGCATGTATACTGCTCCAGGCATCAATGTCAATGGTTGTTTACATAAAATGTTGCAGTGTAATCAATGTACTTATCTGTTTTGGTGGACTAAACCTAACTTTTTTTATCTCTGGTTACTGAAGTGTTCCTAGACCTTCCCCTCCCACCCCTCACTCCTCCTTTTTCTCTGCTGAGAAGACCAATTCTAGAATTGGTCTCCAATAGGCACTCATGACTTGTTAGAGCCTGGTGTGGTACTGAAGGTTTGAAAGGTATAGCAAGATAGCTCATGACCCAGTAGAAAGATGCATTTTATTGCATGTTTTTTTGTGTGTATCTTTGTTGGCACTTTGTGCCATTCAGCCAGTTGTATAAAACAGTACAGTAGTACATTTCTTGCCATAATAGGAAAAACAATTGCAAAAGTTATCCTTTCAAATAAAAAACAATTGTATACTGTAACAATAATTACTGTATTATATGTTTATAATGTATGAATACAATACAATACTAAATACTTTATATGCATGCTTCAGAGTGCAGTATGTGGCCCTAACAATCAGCTTCCATTATTTCTAATGGCAGAAAGACAGTCAGTATTCATTTGAGAAAAATAAAACTATATAGATTTTTCACATTATGTATTATTTACAATAAAATAACAAAATATCTCTGTACAGACGTCTTCCCTACAGAGCGGAATTTCGTTCAGTGCCAGATGAATGGTAGAGGCAACTATAAATGCACATACCATGACATATGCTGACAATATAATTAAATGCAATGTCTCTTCTCCAGTGAATCAGCAACTGACTAATGTGGTTTCATTACCATGTTAGTACTTGTTAATATGTTCACTATTCACTATTAAATTCACTAATTTCTATTATGCTAATTAGTCCATCATCACTAATTAAATTTCTTGCCATTAATGAGCTGGGGCATACTTAGATTTAATAATAAATTGTTGAACATAATTTGTACAAGTAAAAGGTGTGTGATTGTCCAAGATGATTATTTGGTAGGATCTAAGAATTCTTTTTCTACAGTATTAAATTAACACGTGTAGTGTGAAAAAAAAATAAAGAGGATTGTTGATTCTTTCAATTAGACTAAAAAATAAAATGTACTCTCATAAGATACTGCAAATCTCTACTATACATCAGTATGCTATACAGGGTCATTATCTCCACATTAAGGTACTACAGTATAATAATTGTTACCAAATTTAATTCAGTACTAGCATGAAGTTGAAACCACCTAAGTCAAATCATACTATTGTTCAAAATATGGCAATTCTGCATAAATTAAACGTTTCCTCAAGAAACTAAAAGTTATGCATCCCAGTATATGAGAAAATGAAAAATCTCAGACTCTAACCTAATCTGAAAATTACCGGTATTTATGGTGGGGGGGGGGGGGGGAGGGGGGTTTATAGCACATTAAAGGACAAGTGACTGATCATAAACACATATTTGATTTAAATTAAAAAAGGTAACTATATACCAGTTACCTACAGGCAAATTTTACCTTGCATAAAACATGCAGCAAATGCATGTCAAAACAAATTGAGAATGGACAGTTTTCCAAATAGTAACTGAAAAATGTAATTGTTCTAATTTTTGATGGGAATGTAACAAGCACCTCGGTCCTTTATACAGACTGAATGCTCTCAGGAAAACCTCAGCAGTATTATGCGCTAACTTCAGCGATTGGAGCAACAAATGGCTGCGTGTGTTACAGCATCGCCACAAGATGCCCATTATAAAGATGTGATAGCTGCCAGTCAATCCAAAACTTAAAATCTTTAGCATTGTTAAAGCCTAAATATAATTAGGATGTAAAATATCTTTAGAAAACATTCTGTGTATAAAGACCAAAAATAAAACTTGTTGACTATCTGGATATGGTAAGGAGGTAGAGATATCTAAGCTCTTGAGATCAGCATCTGTGTACTCTTACAAATTAAACAGAATTCTGTAACATCATGACCTGAATATCAAGTGTAATTAACTAAATCAAAATGGTCAGGATGCAATACGTAATATTTACTAAAACACCCCATAGGGCAATGGAAAAAAAATATATATTTTGAAAATGTAATCTAATTTTCTTCTTATACTCCATTACATTGTACACAGTTTTATTGCTGTTCCTTGCCAAATTCTGCTGAATATAACAGCATACCTTGTACACTCATAATACCAGCAGCAGAACAACTATACTATTGCCCGTATTGCTTACTGCCGATATCAAAGCCAAACACGAAGATAGCAGCAGATGCCACTGCGCATCTGGCAATTTATAGAACATTAATGGTATCAGTTCGTGCTATCCATTGTGATACAAAATGTATAACACTGGAGAACAGCCTGCAGTGTAGGCAATCACCAGGTGAACATCAAGAAAAACAGTCTGTAGTGTAATCTTCTACCTGCAGCAGAATACCTAGGATAAGAGGTCGACTTGTTGGGCTACATTATGCATTCAAAACATGACTATATGCAATTATAATGAGTACCATATACCACATACAATCACTTTCCCACAATGACAATGATGAAAGAAACACTTACATGGACAAAACTTAACACATGACAAATGGTAATGATTAAGATGACTCTATCAATACTTTCTTCACTCTTGAAAAAGGATACATATACAGCAAAATTAATAAGTGATACATTCATACCAAGATGGGGTACATACATTTCTTTAATACATGAAAGCTACTTAATTTATAAAATAAGGATTAGCAAGCAGATTTTATGCCTGGACGGCCAAGTTTTGATTAGAGAGACCAAGGTAACTTTTGATATTTTCACCTATCACAGCAACAAAAAAAAAGAAAAAAACGAAAAAAAAAGAAAAAAAAAAGAAAGTGCATTTAATTTGGTTGAATATTAAATTTTTGTATAGAGCTAACTTTTGAAATTTGAATAATTATTTATATCTTCATGAAATAAGACTAAGAATTTAACTTTTGCGTCCCTTCCGAGAAATGGCTAACCAATTAAACCAAAACTACCATAAAATAGTAGTATTAGTAAAGCTGAATAATAAACAGTGATTAAATATAGATGTCAAGCTGTAATACAACTACTGTACATTAATAAATAAAATTGAGTGAGAAGTGCTACACAGGTCCAGACTCGTGGCGTACACGTTTTGCACAGAAGAGCAAGCATCTCTTCATTCTTGTGGCCTAGTAAATGGCTATAAGAACCATCAGTTTATTTTTTCAGCTACCTAATGTGAAATCTCCATGTATCTCCCAAAGAATAATAAAAAAAACTTATTGTGGAGAAGACCTCCAGACTCTAGCACATTATGTAAGAGGGGATATTATCATAATCCTCCTCTCTAATTATGTTAATGACTAACCACATTATAACCCCTCACAATCACACGCATCTTGGTAAGGCTCCTCAAGACACTGCTTTTATGTAACAGTGGTATGTCTCTAAATGGAGCATCTCCAACTTGAACACATCAAAGTTCATTTCTTATCTTCCGTTATAACTGAACTCTTGAACACTTCAATATTTCCACATCGTATAATCACTTATTCACTTTTTATATATGAACATCATAAATGTTCAACACAAACTTTTGTGACATATCAAAACTTATGAGCTGCTTTCTTTATGCTATATGTGCAATATACTAAGTCTTTCTGAGCATGATATATTAACTACTATAGGTATGCTTCCTCATTCAGGTAATCATTTGGAGTCTAATGCATTTACAATACACTACTCCAAACCTCAGTCCTTACCCTGCGTCAATTACTGGTGCATATATATGGCTTCACAGCCACCAATAACAATGACACTTGGTATTTATTACCAAATAAATGATGGTGCTTACAGTTTGTTCTAAAATCCAGGAAACATCTTGATCCTGATTCTTCACTAGATTCTGCCCAGGGGCTGAGCCAAACATTGTATGGACTTAGGCTAGTGATCCAAGGAACATGATGAAAGCCGGCAACATGTAAATAGTAATGGCACGATTGAGAGACATGGTTTTTTTAGCAGCAGCAGAAGGTGGCTGGTCTACTTCATGTTTAGGAACACTGTGATCAGTTGGTTGACGGGGAATGCTTGGGGGTTCGTATGACTCGTAGGGAGATTCTTTATCCAAATTGGGAGCTTGTGGTTTATCATAGTTGCCAGATCCCTCTAAATCACCATCCATCCCATCCCAATCAGCACCAGAGCCATCATACCTCTTGTCATATTCGCTGTATGTATTCCCTGAGCCAACTTGACTGTTTCCTGTATCTTGATGATTGAATTCATAATTATCTTCATCATCGCCATACACATCTTCATTGCTTTGCTTTTTCAAATAAGTTTTGTCCTTTTTCTTGACATATGCATCTTCATCATCAGGCGGATAATTGACATTGAGTGAGCCATCACCACTGCCACTACCCTCATAACGTAAGGCTCCATCATCACTCACGGCCTCCTCATCTTGTTTTCCTCCATTGGTCAACCATGAATCTACAAAAGATTATAGATTTAATTTCATAAATAAAATGTGTGTATTAATGAATGGAAAAATGGCTAAGTGTTCTAAATATCAAATATATACTATTTTTCCATCTTTTCAGGTTGCCTACCACCAACATGTTTAACCACTGCACTGCGCCAAACAACAAATGTCGTTTTGAGAGTTGTGCATTTTTTTTATTAGGCTATATTTTAATGTTTTTAACCCTTTAACTGCGTGGCCTATAAATATGACACCCTCCAGTGCGCAAGAAATAAATTCTCGGGAAAAAATTCTTTTTAGTTCTGAAAGTGTCAAAAACCCCTCCCTGTATTTGGGTATAGCAACGGAATTTCGAAATTGTACTTACTTTGGCTGCTATGGGGTCCATAAGGTGGCGTGTGACTTCATCATTCCCTGTGCGCCCGTGCAGTAAGCTCCCGGGGCCGGTGGGGCGCCCGGGGCGGGGCACGCGAGTTGCCGCGAATATGTTTTTGTTCATTTTTTGCGCACAGTTCCAAATACATTTTATTTGTTTTTATGCGCTAATCCTATGTATAATAAACACGTACACTATATTATGGCAGTAAAACATCCGTACTGTCCAAGGACACTGTGTTACGTGCATGACACTTGTGTACACACATGTTATCTTGAGATGATTTCGGGCTTTTAGTGTCCCCGCAGCCCGGTCCTCGACCAGGCCTCCACCCCCAGGAAGCAGCCCGTGACAGCTGACTAACACCCAGGTACCTATTTTACTGCTAGGTAACAGGGGCATAGAGTGAAAGAAACTCTGCCCATTGTTTCTCGCCGGCGCCTGGGATCGAACCCAGGACCACAGGATCACAAGTCCAGCGTGCTGTCCGCTCGGCCGACCGGCTCCCGGTAAATATGTTGCACATATTTACCATGTATCATGCTAATTTATGTATATATACAATCTATTTACAGACTATAAACTGTCACACACTATATATATTCACCATCAACACATTCAGAACACCGCGAGTGAGAGCTGTCACACCCAGCCAGCCCTCCCTCTCTCACTTCTCCAACATTGTATTCGCCAACTTTGCCCCTCCCATCATACAGTTATTGACACCAATGTTTCATGTTCATTTATGTATATTTGCAACATATGTACACACTATACAATGTCACACACTATATACATTTACCATCAACACATTCAGAACATCGCGTAGCAGCTGCCACATATGGGCCAATAGGCCTTCTGCAGTTACCTTTGTTCTTATGTTCTTAGCTCCTCTCAACATACTCCTATTGCTGTTATTACACTATATACATACACACACTGTATATACCCATGTACATGTGTGTTCCCCATAGCGAACCACGAAGCTAGTATGATGAGCAAAACAAGAGTGGCTGCCACACAGTGAGGGTACCTCAATTTTCTCCCTCCCTCACCACAATTCCTCCTTCCACAATACTACACTCAAAAAATGCTAATTATAATCACAATCTTGATCACTAATTCCTGTAAATGAATAATTGACCACAAATTTATTTTGAAAAGGAACCTAAAAAGTCGTTTGAAGATTCCTAGATGAACGAAATAATGCTGTGGTGCTGTGGCTAGCTCTGTGAACATCGTGAACAGCATTGAATCACTGATATTTGAACATAGTACCCAGTCATTATCACACTCAGGCTCTTCTATAATACTATCATGGCTAAATAATACAAGTTATATATATATTATGACATTATTAGGCGATGCTGTGGTCACACGCTGAACAGCAGTGCTGTGCGCTCATGCTGCGAGCGCCAACCTTGGTTGCTCACTCACTACTGAGGTTCCCACACCTGAGAATGTGGACCACGATTTTTTTTAAAGATGGCGTCTGTTTACAAGAGCCCTGAGGAAGCTGATGTGAACCCCATGTAGCCGCGGGAGTTTTGAATGGAACGTGAAAAATACAAATACCCGGAGGTGCGTTGCGCACCTGAAGCCTGGGCCTGCAGGCGCATTGCGCAGTTAAAGGGTTAATGTTTTCTTTGTGTTTTGAAATGAAAATAGTTGAGTTTGGAAACATTTTAATATTACCTTCACCTGAATATTTATAAAAACAACAAAAATATGTCCTTAACAATTGCACTATGAAGTTTTTGCCAAAAACAGGTGTGCAGTGCAGGGGTTAAACTGGAAATAGGGTAAGGATTGCTATACCAAGTTGATTCTGATATTTGACAATTGCATCAACTAATCCAGATCTTCATCTGAATTATGAAGAACTAGTCTGTTAACAAAATATGTCTGCTACTTGTGATATTTCATTATTTGAAGGTTGTACTGCACATCTTTACAAAGTTGGTTTGGCATTACAGTACATAACTATACTCGATTAATACCAGGCAATATCACTTCTTATTTAGGGTTCCAATACTGTATTTACCTTCATCAATCCAAGACACATCACGGCCCTTGTAAGCCTCTTGCAGTTTGCTGGTAATCACTTTGAGCCGCATAATTTGTTCATCCATGGCAGAACTGTGCTGTGGCTCGCTAACATTCAAGGGACTCTTACCCTCGTATCTGGAAAAACAGTTGCTTTAATGTAGCATCTTCAAATGGTTTATAAAAAACACATTCTTAATTATTATATAACATTGCAATACGATAAACTCTTCTCTTTTTTTCAAAAGCTATATATTTCTGCTTAGTTTAGCAAACTTTGTTTTTAGTGCATATACAGTAATTTTAAATGTAGGTTGATACTGAGGTCTAAATAACTAAAGTATATTACAAAATATTTCTAGCTTGGCTACTCGGGTATGAACTGCTTCAGTTGACTAACTCGTAAGCAGTACGGTAAAGGAAAATGTGTACGGGTGGAAAAGACAAGGGAGTAAATAAATGTATGAAATTATACAGTACCTAAACATTACATATATATAATGTATGCTTAAATGGTCAATTTAATCTTTGTTCCCCGTGTACTAAGAGTGAGGGTTAACGACACAAGCATCTAGCACAACTGCCTATGAAACTAGTGGAAACATAAGCTTGAGTATTTATGTAGTCTAGATACCAGTAAAAAAGATTACACAAACCCACATGAACACCCAAGTTATAAGCTACTGTATATAACAAAAATGTGCAACGTGCAGAGAGAGAAAAGCCAGAGCTATAACTTTAAAAATGCAATTACAGTAATTTAATATTGGAAAAATATTTATTCAGTAAATATAAGATATTAAGGATTATACAAAAGGAATTCAGATTGAAATTTAACAGAACAAATATTCAGAATAAGAGTAACATGTACGCACTTGCCCATCTTGTTGCCTGTCCAGCAATTTGAGACACCAGTGCGATCAGCATCTTTACACATCTTGGTTGGTAACTCACTCCAGAACTCCCGGGCATTCTTGATCTGTTAAGTAATTCAATTTGTAATACAATTACTACTGGTAATATTTACTATTTTTGGAGTGCGAAGACGAACTGAGAGAAGTAGTCATGAATAACGAAATCAATAAAGTAATATTGGTATGTGTACATATACAGTATAGTAGGCCTATGGCTTCACATTAGATGTGTCTACATTTAAGCCAACTATATCTTTAATCATTCAATCTTTACTTGAATAAACACATACATTGGATAGTTTTGATAAAGTTATATAGTACTGGTAGTTAAACAAATGTTGACCCCCACTAATTATGCAGTGCTTTAGTAGTGTCTAGTTAGTATGTACCTTTGAGTTCATCCATATAGGGGTCATCCTTAGGGGTCGCTAAGCTCTGAAATCACTTCAAGATATATATAGGTTATAACAATAAGACCCTATATTTGTATCTTACAAATTACAATGGGTCTTCACTATCTGTCATTTTGGTATTCACAAATTACAGTACAGTACGTGGTGTTCTTGAGTTAACAGCATTAGTGTGTTTAATAGTCTTTTCACGAGGGTTCTCTTGGTGTCTTAACTCTTGCACCACCAAACCTTAGCTCAACACACCAGGCCTCTCTACAGGGAGCCAGGAGCTGACTGGCTCACCCTTTAAGGTGAGAGGATCAAAGATTAACCACAAAACTGAGGAAACTCAGCAGAAAGCATAGGCACAACAAAACAAGTTTTAAGTTTTTTAACAAGTAATACATTACCAAATTGACTTTAAATCTAGAATAATACCAACCATATTCTATACTAACCTTTATTTTTATTTCATGGACGTGTTTACTGACAGAAATGTTCTCCATTTCCTTATCGCGTTTTTTGTCTTGGCGATTATTAGCACTAAAGTCTAAAAATTCTTGCGTTAATTCTCCATTCACCGGCGCCTGTCTCTTACTGCGCCCCAGACGGGGTGGTCCGCACCCTTGAAACACCTGGTAAATTATAATAAAATCAGTGACAAGACATCATATTTATGTAAATAATGTAGTATGAGATGGGTTCAATATAAATATACATGTACTTGATATAGTACCTCACGACTTAATGGTTCAGAATGGACCAAAATGTCAATTCCTTTTTCAAATTTGTGGGTTGGGTGTCCATACAAGTACTGTATCTGCCGATATATCTAATATATGTGATCTTTAAGTTAAAAGAGAGTGGCCTATGTAGGACTTGCAACCACCTTCATTGCAGTTTATTAATTTTAGCTTGAGATCCTTCTTTTGTTACTTACAGTACTTTGAAATAAAACAAGTTAATCTCTTTATAAAAGCATTCAAAATCCTTTAAGAAATATATCTCATTTTATATAATTCTCAGTAATTTTGAGAAAGCAAATGGAGAGTCATTCTGAAGAGTTAAAATTTACAAGTGAAAATTCAACTCTGCAATCTTGCCTCCCTTGAATGGGAGACATAAGAATCAAACAATATGTCATACAAGGTAGCACCAGTGCTTAGGAGAGCACTGAACATTTCTTCAGCCACGTTATTGTGACTCATCAACTGCACAAGAGCACTATCATCGATGTGGCATCCCGTATTTTGAAGGTTCTCATTATTCACCCTACCGTTGCCCTGGATGTTGCAATGTTTGCTTCATTATAATCTCTGAACATTAGGTCATATAACATTATATGAAATCACTCCTTTAACTCTTGATCTCTGTTTGGTATCCTGCACTTCTTTTACAGTGAGTGGTTTTTGCATACTGAAGTAAGTGGAATTTGTCACGGTTGAACTTCATATTATTTTATGTTGCCCATTGGAAGATTTTTCCAATTTCAAATTGTAATTTTTCTGCATCTTCCCCTGTGGCAATTTTCATACATATTTTAGTGTCACCAGTGAAGGATGACATAAAACTAAGGCTTGCATTCCTGTCTCTGTTCTCTATGAGGATGAGGGAAGCTCCAGTGCAAGGACACTACCGTGTGGAACCGAGCTTAGTATTGTACTCAGGCTGAATTGACTCTAGATTACCGCCACACGCCTTGTAAAACGCTCAGTACCAATATAAAATTCACCCTCCTTCAAATAAAGGAAGATTCAAATATAAAAAGCATTGCAGGATATCAAATGGTTTGTTAGTAAAATTAACACCAATCGTATTGGTGTGCCTTTCCATTGGAGACTTTCAGCGCCGTGGAGAAGGAGGGACCTGCTGCCTGGGTAACAGCTTCTCCCCCGAATCAACCTACCCTGGCTTTGCGCCCTTGTGAGGCCACTCCAGACCAGGCCGATGCCAGTGCGCGAGTCCATAGTCTCCTGAGACTGATGGATGCCTACTATTATTATTGCTAGTAAAATTTCTATACAGTATTTCAAGCATAACTAATGCAATTCAAACCTATGTGTTAACTAGCTTATAACTTCCAGGAGCTTATTCGCATTGTCGAGACCCAACAGACATAATAGAGTAAATTCCTTACCTTGTTAGATATATCATGGCCAGCTTCTTGGAAGTTCATAACAGCATCAGACACCTTGTAGTTGACCGGCTGAACCACGTTTTCTATGTTAAAGGGGTTCTCTAACCTTTCTGCCACACTCACCATTGCATCTGAAAATAACCTTTAATCTAGCTAAAACAATTTTTCATTTATTTATAACTTTAACACTATCATGAATATTTAAAGCACACACACACTTGTTTGCTGTCATATATATCTACTCAGGAAGAATCAGAGACTCGCCAGAGATGCTGTGATTCCATCTGGCATGAAACTTGGCAGATTATCTTTATAATGTATGATGTTAAAATATCAAACTCCAGCAACTTTTTTTTTATAAATATAATATATATAGGAGGTACCACCTCTGGTTGCTGGTAGGGACACTCAAGCCTTGAAGAAGACGATAGGCAGCACCCGGGGGAGCCATGTCAGGCTCTCACGTGCACTGGCACATATTGTCTTCTCCTACCACCACCCTTATATATACCTGTATATATATAGGGAACTTTATTGTACAAGATTACATGATTACAAAATGTGGCCTTGATACATACACAACACAACCAATACAAGCAACTTGTATAAATTGCTAATTCTAAGCATACTTAGAACATACACACAACAAAGCTCATTCTACAATTCACATGAATAATGAATTGTTTTATCAAGGCAATTTTTAAAGCTTTTATTTTGGAATGGATGGCACTAAACTCCTTGGTATCAGCTAACATGACTGGCCTGAGGTTCCTCAGCCCATGAAGGTGAGAAATGGAGGGTAGTAGTAACAATAATGATACTATGAGAGAATGTCTGGGTTACCTCTATACATACAACAACAAAACTTCTATCACAAGTGAACAACATATATATTTAATTAATAACTATGGAAACACATACCAACATAAGCAATCCAGTCTGTTATGAGGGGCTGGTGATGAGCCAGGCAGAGATTGATAACTTCTTGGCAGTACTGGAAGCACGGCACTACCCCCTGATGGCCCGCGCACGTGGCACAGTGAGTCATCCTCATGAGTTCATGGACGCAACTCACACTTGGGTTCACCTGTGCCACATTAACAACCACATAATAGAGGAGAAGCGTTTTTATCAGTCACAAGTTATGAGCAGTTTATCCTACACTATAAGAAATTACTGACTTGGGTTGACAAACTGAATCATCTATCCATCAACCTATCTCTTATATACCAACATCTTTAATCCTGGTCATTGTTCAAGATGTTTAATCCTGGTCAATGTTGCCTTAATTATCCTTGCAGTCAATAGGCCTCAAAGCTTACAAACCTACCTATATATAGCTCTGCTATGTCTACTTATAAACTGATATTTTTCTACATTTCATTATCTATCTTTGAGTATATATCTACTCACCTATCTGCATCTACCTATCTGTTTATATTTATATTTATAGAAGGGTTGAAACGTCTTTATTTATAAAATGTGTACATGTATAACAAAAGAAATTTATTTAAATTTGTAGCAATAACTATTTTACTGCACGAAAGCTTCATCTTAATGTGACAGTCAATGTCACATTAAGATGAAGCTTTCCCATCTGTGGTGTCAACCTGACTCCATGCTCAATACACAAAGATTAGTCACTGTATACTAACAACACTAAACACAGTATACTAACAGCACTAACTATAGTAAACTAACAGCACTAACCACAGTATACTAATGACACTAACCACAGTATACTAACAACTAAGTTAATGTTTATCATCATAAGATTTACCATGTGCCTAGAATGTGTAATGTGATAACTCTGCTTGTCATTTTTAACAGAACACAATAATGTGGTCCAGTATAGTTCAACAACAAAATATGAAAGGCATAAAAGTGGCAGATTTAACACTCCGAAAATCATGATACTCAAGCTAAGGTAAGAAATTCATTTAGTTTTAACCCTTGGAATGTAGAAGAGTTACACCGTGTATCATCTATATGAGAAAACATTTTGTTTTCCTATATATTGTTAAAACCCTGCCCTGAGATTACGAGACATGCCTAGTAAATCGTGTCAATTTTCAAGATGGCAAATATTTACTGGAGGCCCTCAAATATTGATTGATAACACCATTACCAGCACGAGTTTCAAATGTTACCAAGTACCTAAAATGTCTTGGGATGATATGAACAACTTGGTCAAACATCTTAAGATGCTATAAGCAGTACAAGGGTTAATCAGTCACCCCCCTCCCCTCCCTTGAAGAAAAATTATAGATCTGCCACTGTCTCCTTATTTTTCTTGGATGTGCTCATGCTGGCCTTTCTTACTGATACATTGCATGCTTCTGCATTTATCTTTGCTAACTATTAACCTCGGGTTTGTGTGCTTAAGGCAATTTCTAGAGAACATAATAGGGTTCCTATCTGATTCCATCCCTCTTCCATAACCCTATTACTCAAGTTCAGTTTACTAAACTCTCCTTCACATTTGGCATTTCTTTGGAAAGCAGAAAATATAAAACCTATCCCATCTAGATAAAAAGCCTAACATGTATGAATACACTCTGGCTTCCTGTCCCCCAACACAGTGAATTAAATTAAATATCCCAGGATGTGGACATGTACTGTATACACATGCTTTACTATACAGTACGTTTTCATATTTGTCAATACTTGTACAGTATTTTCCTAACATAACATTCTAACATCTTTTCCTAACATTCAGGCAAAAAAAAAGGCACATAAACACACACATATGATATGATCAAAATTCTGATTCGTTCAATAATGCTTTACATGTACGTATATTCTCTGTTCTCAATAAACATTAATTAACATCATCTAAGTAATATATAAATATTTTTTAACTTCTGCAAATCATAATTGCAAATTCAATTTTACTTTTATTTTAGAATAATTGAAACATTAATATTATAAATATGAACTAAAACAAAACTCAAGTACTGTACTATACTGCATTTCATACCTTTAGGACATTCCGCACGACATCTCGTCCTGTTGCCAACCCCTGAACAAATGTGCGTAGAGCAACAAAACTACGCTTAATTTGAGTCGTTAACTTTTTGGGGACATCGCCGAATGGTTTGAGTTGCTCCATATGACGGGTCACACACCGCAAGTATCTGAAAGAAGAATTTGATAAGCAAAATACAAGTAAATGATTAAATCTAATCATTAAGAAGCAAAGGTTCCTTTTACACAGTTTATAGGAAGCATCAATTTACACAAAATGTTTCATAAAAACAAAACACTTTACTGACTGTATGGTACTATAAGTGTATCATTTATACCTGCTTTCCCGGAGGTACACCTCTTCCTGGAGGGAGCAGCAACATGCATGAGCGTTGTCAGACATTTTGGATGCCTTCAAGTGTCTTGAAGGAGCAATTGCTCTATGTTAAAAGAATGAGGACTTGCCCTCAGCTGGAGCATGCAAGTGGGGGAAGAGAAAGAAAGTGACACAAAAGATAGACAGGCACAAGAAAGAAAAAGAAAAAATAGCTGGAAGAAGAGTATGCTGTAGAATAAACACCCAAGCCACAAATCTAAAAATAAAGAATTGTTTACATTTTGGTCCATCCTAGACCATTATTAAGTCATGTAATGAATAAATAAAGAGTGAAAAAAGTAAATTTAGAAGGCAAGGCAAGAGTAAAATGATAGGCAAGGTGGTTAAAGAATTAGATTAAGGTAAGAAGTACAGGAATAGATATAGGAAAGAAAACAAGTACTGTATCAGAATAAGGTAAAATATAGTGTTATATGTAAGGTGGAAAACCACTCATCTTGATCACATGTTTATTGTAAACATGAGACCCCCCCTAACCAGTAGAAGCTTGGACAACATACAGTACTATAAATATTAGGTAAAACAATAGTTTCTAATCCTAATACAGTACAATAATGTGAACCTAATCCTGAGTAATACTTGCAGACTAAACCAAACACTAGAAATTGAAGAGATGGAGACGTTTCGGTCAGTCCTGGATCATCATCAAGTCAATTGTGGTCCAGGACAGTAATGGTCCAGGACAATAATTGTCCAGGACGGACCAAAACGTCGTCGTCTCTTCAATTTCTAGTGTGGTTTGGTCTACATTTTCAGCCACGTTATTGTGACTTCATCTGCTGGGTAATACTTAATCCCACAAATCGTACTCAATCCTAACATTCCTCCCCTTTTAAATAAAATCGATAATATGGCATCTGTGAAGATTAGAGGTAGGAAAGAATATTTTAAAAGACCAAACTATATGAGTAGAGTCCCTAATATGACAAAAAGAGAGCATTGTTTGTGTCAGTAGGCTAAACAGTTGTTTTGTTCTTTTAGTCTGTCATTCAGTGTATGACCACTTTCACTAACGTATTGATAAGGTCAAGAACAACATAAAACAGTGTAAACACCAGCAGCACTTGAAGCAGGAAAAGCAGTCTTTCCTCTTTCTTTCCATTTCATAACTTGATAATGGTCCAGGATGGACTGAAACGTTGTCAATACTTTTATTTTCAGATTAATTCCCACAATGATTCTTCCAGGGTAACCAAAGCCAACAAACTTGTCTACTTCTTAACATTCAAGATAAGCAACTTTACTATATATAATATTAATTTTTATAGGACATTATTTTCATTAGAGTTAAATGAAAACCATCTAATCTGTTAATTTGTGTGCCAACTAACAGTGTCCCTCCAATAATGTCTAACCTTCTAGAAATAATACAGTACCAACTTAAACATACAGGGTTTTACACTCAAAACAAAGTATTTATGACATAAAATTACAATCTGTACAGTACTTTCATGCATACAGTGTGGACTTAATATATTGTACAGTACCTGCAACTGCCAATATGGTTAAATCATCACTCCAGCATGTGCACAGAAGCCACTGTTTACCACTTACCTCGCATTAAAAGCGTACTGTTGATTGAAGACTGTAAACATGCGTTGATAAAGTCGTTTGAAAAAGTCGTCCATAGTTTCTAGCAGGTCGAGCTCACCAGAACTGAAGTACTTCTCCAAGTCATCATACAGTTTAGTGAAGACATAGGCATTTTGCTGATAAATAATTCCATAGGTCTTGCTGAACATCTCATCAAAGCTTTTCCTGCTGTAATTTAGCAGCTTAGCAAACACCTCTGGAAAATAAAATTCATTTACAATGTATTACGTAAATTAAGCCATTGGAACTAATGTTGTAGCTTGCAATACTGGCATTCAAAATACACCTTCAGCATAAATATACAGTATATCGGGTAACATTTTCTGGGCGTAAAATAAGTACTAATTATCATAATGAGCTGTTTTTCAGCTATCATGTATAATTTGACATTTGTGAATATACTCTAAATAATATACAGATTAACACAGGCCAAAAAAGAATGAGAGACAGAGAAGAGGAAGAGCGAAAGAGCAGTGAACAGCTCTTAAGTTATATAATTCATATAGGAACATCAATGGTGATCCAGTTGAACCCTAGCCTTAATTTTAGGAGAGCGAGAAGCCAAGCACAGAGAACCTACCATTAAGTTTAGTATTCTTCTTTCCCAGAAGTCCAGCCATGGGGTTGAGGAGGTTCCTGAGGTTGGTATCGAACTCCTGGCGGCTCTCGACACTCAGCTTGCGCTCCATCACCTCTGTACAGCACGTCAACTCCCCACTGCTGCACATCTTCAGGTGCTCGCCTGAAATATTTACACATATCATTAGTTATCGCATAAATACTCAGAACAGAGTGCAAAGAATTTAACCAGCAATGTGCCAGTCATTTAACATGTTTTTTTAATATGTGCACTCAAAACACATGTATTCCATATTAATTAATTGCTATTGCCAGTGTTAGGAATATCTAAAAACTAGTTTACAAGGCACATATACTTATTGTTTAAATATGCTTAGAGATGCATGAGGGAAGAGAGAAGCATGTGCAGTTCCTTTATAACGCAGCAATTTGCATTTCGTTTGGGTGGTATAGTTTTTGCGTATTATTATTATTGAAATTTATAAAATGTAACCTGGATCAGATTTAGTTTTAACTTGAATTTGAGTCATTTCATTAACAAAGGGATTCAAACCTCCTAAGCAAGAGACCCTAACCTAATTAGCAGTCCTTGTGTACTCACCTAGTTGTGGTTGCAGGGGTTGAGCTCTGGCTCTTTGGTCCCTCCCCTCAACTGTCAATCAACTGGTGGGTGTGTCTACTGACCTTTCCCCATCCTCTGTCTCCTAATTCCTGCTGCATATACTATATTCCTTTCACCATTTTCTCCCCTTCCACGTTTCTTCTCTACCAATTAATTATTCCATTCCCCTTCCTTCCGTCTCTACCCCTCCCCCCACTCCTCCTCTCCCCTCCTCCTTTCCCTTCCCTAAACACCCCCTTTCCCTTCTCCTACTCATGCCCAACAGAATAGTGTAAACGCCCAACAGAAAAGTGACAAACGCCCAACAACAACAACAATTTTGTGGGGCTTTTGGGAGTTTTCCCTTCCCTCTCTTCTTGTCCTTCCCCTCCTCCTCCTCCCCTCCTCTCCCTCGTTCAACCTCCCCCTCCCTTCCACTCTCTCTCTTTCTCTCACCCTTCGCATCTAACCCCAACACAGTGCACAACTCCCCTGACTCTTGGCAGGAAAAACACCAATAATACACGCCTCACAAATACACGAATCCCAGTGTTTGCCCTTCAAGCACAGGGGGGGGGGGGTGCTTTGGGGGACGGACGGACGGACGCGCGCGCGCGCGCGCGCGCACACACACACACACACACACACACACACACACACACACACACACACACACACACACACACACACACACACACACACACACACACACACACACACACACACACACACACACACACACACACACACACACACACACACACACACACGTACACGTACACGTACACGTACACGTACATCTGTCAAGTTAAGGAAACAAAGGTGCCGATCAAAATATTAGAACGTTTTCTTTTACAAACAGTGGTAGACGATTGGAACAAGTGAGATGGTGGTGGAGGCCAAATCCGTCAGTACTGTAGTTTCAAAGCTTTAAACGACAAAGAGTACTGGGAAGACGGGACACCAGGAGCGTAGCTCTTATCCTGCAACTACACTGAGTTGCAGTGTAGTATTGTGTGTGTGTTGCACACTCACACAGAATAAATGAGACCTGGAGAATTCGCACCGCAGACTTAATGATGTACAGTCTTACGATCATTCACTGTACTCCACTTCATATAGTCTAGGGTAGCTGCACAAATGCAGATGTACCTCATGTATTAATAATAAAAAAAATCATTCCAATCATCTGCTACATTATTCACTCTTTGTGATGATGATATCCTCATAATGCATCTTATTCCAAGTATAAGATTTGTCCCACAGTATGTAGGCCTATTGCCTATGTAGTGACAGTTGAGAGACGGGCATAACCCAAATCGTTTGGGTTATGATATCCTCATAATGCACCCAGAGTCTGCCAGTGCAGACTACTTATCACGTGCCTCTGTATGACTGACCATCCTGTGTGATGGGAATTTTTTAGCATCACGTAGCTAGTTCTTCACACACACTGTACTACCCTTAATATTTTATTTTTTATAGAGTTCTTACAAGACAAGTTCTTACATTCTTGTACAGCCACTAATACGCATAGCTTTTCGGGCAAGTACTTAATACTTGGAATCCATTTTCCCTGGAATACGACCCGCCAAATCGTTTAACAACCAGGTACCCATTCACTGCTGGGTGAACAGAGGCTACAGTTAAGGACCGGCGCCTAGGCAATCCTCCCCGGCCAGGATTCGAACCCAAACCAAATCGTTGGCGAAGCGCAGGGCGAGTGACTTACCACTGCGCCACGGGCACTGTCTAAGGCAGCCGCACAAATACACACGTACCTAAATGAGTTAATAACAAAAAATCCTTTGTGATTTATAGTTTGGTTTTCAAGCACTTGAAAACTTTTCCTGTGATCAACACATCAACAACTTCACAATAACAATTTTAAATGAGTTGCACAGAATAAAGTGTTTAGTATCTCTTGCGTATGTACCAACCACTTGGGCTGGACGGTAGAGCGACGGTCTCGCTTCATGCAGGTCGGCGTTCAATCCCCCGACCGTCCATAAGTGGTTGGGCACCATTCCTTTTTCCCCCGGTCCCATCCCAAATCCTTGTCCTGATTGATTGATAAAGATTAAGCCACTCAAGAGGTGGCACGGGCATGAATAGCCCGTAAACCCTTATCCTGACCCCCTTCCCAGTGCTATATAGTCGTAACGGCTTGGCGCACTCTCCTGATAATTCCCTCCCTCTTGCGTATGCACCCCATACTCACAGAAGTATTACTCACCGTGATGACACAACAGCCAAATTAGCAAGCCAAAACGATGAAGTTGAACTAGACCTGGGAGATACATATGCATATATACATATACATATAAAACACATATGCTCCAGGGTGCATATGTATTTTAAGTCTGCAAAATAGCACAGTAGTCCTTTTCTACATTTCAGACCCGTTGAGAAAGATATTAGCAAAGGGAAGGTTAGGTGTCCCGCCTGTCAGTTGAGAGGCGGGACCAAAGAGCCAGAGCTCAACCCCCGCAACCACAATTAGGTGAGTACAGTGAGCTGACCCTGGGCGGGCCTGGGTTAGGCCTAGTTACACTGGACTGACAAAAGCAATAGGCCTACATACTGTGGGACAAGTGGCTTCTGACTTTATTCTGACACCTCAAATACCTGCCTCTGAGCCCAAGCGGCTCAGGATAATACACTCAAAGCCTTCCACGGGCGGGAGGCAAACCAGGAAAAGCAGAGAAAGAGGAAACTAACTCCAGGTATTACTGCCAAAAAAGCACTAATGGCCGACTAAGTGCAGTGAGGGGAGGAGACCACCGGAGCTGACCACTGAGAAAAAGAAAGCTAGGTGAAGGAGGGTCCAGGAGACTCCGTCAGGCTGGCAGACAGGCAGTAGGTAGGGAGCTTTACGGGCAGACAACAGGCAGACTCAGCCAGGTGGAAGGTAGGTAGGAAGGCCGCTTTAACAGGAGCAACATGAGGCTGTCAGTGCTCCTCTAAAAGCACTGGCTTTTTCTGGTAAAGGTGTTGGGGTACCTATCTTGCGGATGTTATACATAAGCACTGTTCGGTCCCTGATAGACTACGCAGCACCCGTTTTGTCTTACACAGGCCAAGGCAGAATTCAAAAAATAGAGCTGATACAGAACGAGGCTATGAGGATTATTCTTGGATGTCAAAGAAATGCAATGATTGAAATAATGAGAATGGAATTAAATTACAGAGTGTGTGTGATAGAGTCCGTGACATTAACACTAGAGTATCTATTCGTTTCATGCGGAGAAAAGGAGGGGATAAGCTGTTTGAGAGCGTTCAGACCTGCTTGAGTGACGTACACACTTCCAGGAAACTGAGGGAGACACGCTATACGAGAGGATTAGCTCATGACCTCAGGGAATACGACGTACTTGACTGCTGTAAACTCTCTCGACAGTGTAATATGTCTGCTCCCTGGAAAGTACAGAAAATAGACGTCGAAATTGTACCCCTCAAGGTGAAAAAGATTCAGCATGAACCGGGACAATTACGGTGTTTGTATGGAAGCATGATATCTCGGTTACCAAGAGGCAACAGTTTACATGTATATTGCGACGGGTCGGTGGCGGAAGATGGCAGGGCAGGGTGTGGTGTCCTAATAAGGGATTATACGGAGTTTGGGACTGTGGACAGGATAATTGAACTCCGGCTTAGTAATTATATTTCATCCACACAAGCTGAACTGCAGGCCATTCTGGCGTGTTTGGAGGAAGTACGTCATGACGACAAAAATGTTTTTGTATTTGTCGATAGCCGAGGAGCACTGGAGTCCTTAAACAGTCGAAACCCAGTCTTCATGTCTATAGTGGAGGACTGTAAGAGAAGAATAACTGAGATACAGCTGAAAGGTTATAGTGTGAAATTCATGTGGATTCCGTCTCATGTTGGAATAGTGCTCAACGAGGTGGCGGATGACTTGGCCAAACGTGCCACATCAAAACCACAAGTTGACATTGAATGTGAATTCACAATGAGACAAATAAGAAGCAAAATCAGAATATTCAGGCACAGGCGGGAGTGGAGAGGAGAGAGATAATGTATGAGAGAAGTCAAACCATGCAACACTACATGTATGTGAGTCAAAACACCTCTTTCACTTATGGTAAAAGGAGAAATGCTTGGAGTGACTCTGTGTACATGCGGCTCAGGCTTGGGTACAAATATTACTGGGAATATGGGATAAATGTTCATGGTAATGACACGAAGTGTAAACTATGTGGTATGTTAAGGTCTCACACCCTTGCCCATTATATTCTTGATTGTCCGTTGATTAATGTATATAGAAACACTGAGATAAGGACTGTTCCTGAACAAATAGCCTGGATGTGTCACAACGGAAAGGTTGATGATATTCTTGAGAGATATAAGAATTTTGCACCAAGATTGTAATATTTTGTTGAATTATCTGCAGGTGTCTTGCAAATTGTCTATACAGTATACCTAGGTCATAAAAGTATTTGTGTGTACGTCTGATACCATACTACTTGTGAAGGAGGAAATGTATATTTTTACCTCTCAGAATGTTTGGTAATGTGTTTATTTGTGATGTGTGTCTATGT